ACAGAGTGAGTTCAAACCCACCATAGACGACACAGTGAAAAAATTGTAGAGAAAAGTGTAAGATCTGCAAATTACGGATGGAAAAGCTTAAGTGCAAGATGAATAGACCATGTCACTGTCGTTATCTGAATTGTGGTACTGTTTATAGTTTTGCAAGATGTTACCATTGGGGAAACAGCAAATACAGTATAGTATAGGAGAGTGGTTAGTTATTTCTTACAACTACATGTGAACCTACAATCTCAGTAAGACTTAGAAAAAGAAACGTAGACGATATATAAACAGAGTACAATCTGTATGATTCATCTATGTAAAATTCTAGAAAATGCAAACTAGTCAATAGTGACAACACAGAAGCGCGATTGCTGTGGAGAGGTCAGGAGAGTTACAGACGGGAAGGGACACAGTTTCAAAGGTGAGGGGCTCTGTGACCCTAACTGTGGTGCCACCTGTATATGCTCACCAAAATCTATCAAGTCCACCTTTTGTGTATTGAGGTATTGTGTGTCAGTTATACCCCAGGGAAGCTGTTTGTGAAATCCTCAAAGTTAAAATGTCTTCAGCAACAGAACTCAATTTCCTGATTAAATTGGCAGTCCTTGTTCTTTGGGAGACAATAGATCTCATCCTCTACCTTGTGTTCGGGGATACAGTACAAGCTGTATCGCAAGGCTGTTTGTGTTCCAGGAGAAAGCACAAACCCCTCAAGCTGCTGGGCGGAGACTGGCACCACCTGAACCTGTTCATCCCACACACTGTCTATTGTATGGAGCGAAACTGCCTCGGGACTTGCTTGCAAATCTTATCTAGATAATTCTGATAGCTTCGGAGTTTCCCCTACCTCATTCAAAAGCCAGAATATTTCAGGTCTTTTGTTTTTTACAAACACTGAAATTTTTTGGCCGGGCATGGTTGTGCACACCTGTAATCCCAGCACTTGGGAGGCTGAGGCGGGAGGATTGTAGCCGGGGCTATGAAGTGAGATCAAGGCCAGCCTGAACTGCATAGCGAGACCATGTCTCAAAAAGACAAAAAAATAAAAACACTGAAGTTTTATTGGTTTCCCTCCGCTGCACTGGTGTGCATGCACGCATGTGCGCACACAATTTTTGGTTAATTTTTGTAAAAGTTACAATTTAGGGAAAGCACAGCAGTCTGTAGAACATTGAAAACCTGAAGGATTCTCTCCCAGAAAACCTGTTCATCCCTAGGTTTCCACGTACTATTTCTAAAACCCACTTAATTTTTTATTCAGTAATACTTGCACATTGTGTATTCGAAACTTGATCTTATAGAAGTGCACAGGGCACGGAAGTATACAGAAGGAAAAGTCACTCTTAACCACTGTTCCCACCTCCTACATTCTGCTCTATAAATGTGTCTGGTTTTGCCAGATTTTCTTGAGTGAATTGCTTGATAGTCTGTGTTTGTGAAGAAACTGTGTATCTTACTACACAGCACTCTTCATACCTCAGTTAAAATACATAATTAACATGTTCCATTAAAATTCGATAGGTTTCCCTTTTACCCATGTCCCTGCCCACACCTGGTTCTCAATCTAAACAATCAGTTTGCAATTTGTTGTGTTTTCTTCTAGACACAGTGTGTATACAGTCTACTGACACATTCTCGCTTCAAAGTGCTGAGATTTTATAGGATTCCCGGCGGGTGGGGGTGGGTGGTGGTTTTTATTTTTTAATTTTTGTGGTACTAGGGATTGAACCCAGGGCCTTTGCACTGAGTTACAACCTCAACCCTTTCTCTTTTTTCTTCTATAAAGGATGGCTGGTGGGGAAGAGGCCTGGGCTGGCATGGCAACTCCAGGGTTTCTAGGGATGGGTTTCCTTGTGTCACTCTGGTCAGCCTTTTTTTTTTTTTTTTTTTTTTGGTACTGGAAATTGAACTCAGAACCTTGCGCTTGCCACGCTGGCACTCGTGCCACTGAGCTATATCCCCCGCCCTAGCCCTTTCTCTTTTTTGTTTGTTTTTTGTTTTGTTTTGTTTTGAGACAGGTTATCATTGTGTAGTTCAGGTTGGCTTGAACTTGTATTGATCCTCCTTCCTCAGCTTCTGGAGTGCTGGCATTTATGGGTATGTGCCACCATGCCAGGCTCCCAGCCCTTTTTATTTGGATTTTTATTTGGTTTTGGTTGTTTGAGACAAGAGCTATGTCCTTTTTATTTTGAGACACAGTCTTGCTAAATTGCCAGGCTGAGCTTGAACTTTCGATCCTCTGGTCTCAGCCTCCTAGAATGTTGGAATTGCAGGCATGAACCACATACGTGGCTTGGTTCTCTTTTTCTTAACCTAGCACCTAACACAGTTCTTGGCACATACTAGGTGTTCCATAAATATTTTTGGAATGAAGTAATTTTTGTTTATTTTTGAGACGGGGTCTCACCATGCAGTTTGGGCTGGCTTTGAGCTCACTTTGTAGCCCAGAGTTTGTCTTGAACTTGCATCTGTCCTCCTGCCTCAGCCTCCCTGGTGCTGGGATCAAAGACGTGCAGCACCACGCCCTAGCCAAGAAGGAAGTGATACAAATATAGACATCTTCCTTATCGCCCATATTTCCATTTTCAGTGCATTTATTGAGTCTGATTGATCCCCATGGGGACTTTCTACACCTTCCTCCCTTTCCTGTTTTCTGACTGCAGAATCAGCCCAGAGTGTGATCACTCTGCCTTGGACTACACGTCCTAATCAGTCTACATCCTGGGCAGGTGACGCTCTGCTTAGAAAAGCCATGTTTCAGGATAGTTATTCCACCTCCGCTATTTCAAAACAATAGAACCTAGAAGAAACGAGTTGCCTTAATGGCTGTGCCTCAGTTTCCTTGCCTGTATGTAGAGATAAGAGTCTTCTCCATCGCGCTTCTGTATATGAAACAAGCTCGAATGCCTATGCAGCTGCACATAGTGCTCAGTAAATGGGAGCTGTTACAACAGCAAGTCACAGGTCGTCCGCAAGCGTTGTCTTTTCTCTGTGCTAGGTCAAAACACCCAGTGCCCAAGGTTAAGGGAGGAAAGGTTTATCTAGCTCACAGTTTGCAGAGTCAGCTGGCTCCAAGGCAGAGGGGCATCACAGAGAGAAACAGTCCATGGCAAAGCAGGCGCGAGGCAGGGAAGCAGCAGCAGGCAGTCTGCCTTATTTCTGCCCCTTTCTATTCCACCCAGACCACAAACGTATGGATCGGTGCCACCTTTACCCAGGGTGGGCCTTCCTTTCCCCACACCTTTAATCCCAATATCACACCCTTAATCTGCAATCTCTCTAGATACAAACCAGAGCACACTTTGAATACATCCTCACTCCTAAGTACTTTCAGCAGCTCTTCATAGGAATTTTTGTTGTTGTTGTTGTTGTTTTGAGACAGGGTCTCGCTATGCAGTTCAGACTGGCCTTGAACTCACTGTGTAGCCCAGGCTGGCTTTGAACTTGCAGCGATCCTGCTGCCCCAGCCTCCAGAGTGCTGGGATTACAGGCGTGCCCACCATGCCTGGTGAGGAACTCTTACATTGTTTACATTTAACTTGACGGGCTTTGATTTACTTCTCCTTATCCAACCAGTCTGTCTGCATTAGTCAGTGTTTGCAGCACATACTGAGTGCACTCACCCTAGGAAGTTGGTACAGGCACCTAACACATCTTAGTTCTCCCTTCCTTCCGGTTCCTCAATCTGCTGTGCAGTGAGCTTCACGCAGGACCCGGTCTCTGACTGCACTTCACTGGGCCCGTCCTCACCCTGACTTTCCAGGGGATCATTCTCCCTTCGCAGGAACCACTTTCCGTGCTGCTTCTCCATTCTTCCCTGCCTCTCCCCTCTTCCCCCGCTGTCCTTTCCTCAGGTCCTGTTTGACAAATTCTGGCTCTGAGCACAGAAATATGATTTTTATGTATATTTGTGTAATGTAGTTCTTGTGTATTGTACATTTTTCATATTTTCAGTTGTGTGTATCCAAGTTATCCCAATAAATTGAAAAGTCCTCAACATCTGCTTGTGTATTCTTTGGTTAGCCTTTGTGCTTGTGTTTACAGTGAACTCAGAGAAAGTTCTAAGGGGCAGGCATGGTGCGTGTCTGTGATCCCAGCTACTCATGGGGGCTGGAGGTTGGAGGACGAGTTTGAGACCAGCTTGTCAAAAAGAAAGAGGGGCCATGGCTATAGCTCAACTATCTCAAATAAGCCAACCTTTCTTTCTTTCTTTCTTTTTCTTTCTTTCTTTCTCTCTCCTCTTTCTCTCTTTCTATCCTCTTTCTTTTTCTTTTCTTTTGTTTTTTTTTTTTTGTTTTTTTTGAGACAGGATCTCATTATGCAGTTCAGATTGGCCTTGAGCTCACTTTGTAGCCCAGGCTGTCCTCGAACTCACAACAATCCTCCTGCCTCAGTCTTCTGAATGCGGGATTACAGGTGTGCACCACCATATCTGTCTCTTTCTTCTTTCCTTTGTGTCTTTCTTCCTTCCTTTCTTTCATTCTTTTTCTTTCTGTCCTTTTTCTGTCTTTCTTTGTCTTTTAGAGACAGGGTCTTGGTATGCAGTTCATACTGGTCTTGAACTTACTTTGTAGCCCAGGCTGGCCTTGAACTCACAACGATCCTCGATCCTCCTGCCTCAGCCTCTTGACTATCTTTTTAGAAAGTTCAGTACTCCCAGAGCTCAATATTAGCATACCCACCTAGCCACCTTCCCTCTTCTCCGTTCCCCTCTCCCTTCCCCCTTAGTACCCACCCCCAGTTTTATTTTTAATTTCCTACTCTCCAACACCCACTTCTTTCCTTTTTCCATTTGATCATCCTCCAAATCCTCTGGCTTCTAGGAAACTAAAACTAATGCTTTGCCTGGATCTGATCTGAGACAGGCTGCAGGAATCCGCAGCAAGATGGGCATGAAGGTGTCACTCCCAGAACATTTTCCTCCCAGAACATATGTGCTTGAAGAGTGGTGGGGGCTGCTGTAAGCAAGTGGAGTGACTTTCCCCTGTCACTCCCTGACCACTGACCACTGTGAAGCTCGTCCCTGCTGTGAAGGCACCGGCTCTCAGGATGATGAGCGCTTGTCCCGGGGCTGAGCCAATCGTCTGCTGCAGTCAAAAAGACCCCGCTGCTCGGACTGAGCCGCCTGCAGGTGAAATAATGAAAGAAAAGCCAGCACTGGGGGAAACAACCAGCTAGTACCTCCGACCTGACCCCAGAAGAAAGGGTCAAGTGTTTAGGGAGCACAGGGAAAGCCACATAATTAATTGTGTAATTTATGTGAAATGTCAATGGGTTTCAGAATGGCTATTATCAAAAAGTCAATAACAAATGCCGGAGGGGCTGTGGGGAAAAAGGAACCCTTCTCTGCTGTTGGTGGGAAGGTACACTGGTGCAACCACTGTGGAAATCAGTGTGGAGATTCCTTAAAAACTAAAACAAGAGGTTCCATTTGACCCAGCTATTGCTCTTCTTGGCATCTGCCAAAAGAATTAAAAGCATCATACCACAGCAATATATGCACCCCCACGTGTATAGCGGCACAGTTTGTAGTAGCCAAATCCTGGAAATGGTGCAAACGACCATCAGGGGGAGACTGGACAAAGAAGACATGTTTTTTTAATACAATGGAGAACTACTCAGCTATAAAAAACGATAAGCCTGAGACATTTCTAGCTAAAGGGATGCACCTTGAGGCCATTCTCTTAAGTGAGATAAATTGGACACACGTGTAAATACTGCATTGTTTCTCTGGTGTGAGAAACCGAAAGAGAAAATAAGGACCAAGATGTATAACAGATACCGGGAAATGGGAAGAAAACGGGCAAATGAGAGCAAGGGAGGAGGGAGGGAGAAAGGAAAAAAGGGACAAGAAAAAACAAACAAAAAGAAAAAATGGAAAAAAGCTTTTGTGAATGAGATATATCACATACAGACACAGACTCCCTTTGATGAATGTTACCATTAGGTATATCTAAAATGTACCATTAAAATAAAATAAAACCCAAAAAAGCCACCCGGGGTTCACAATTATGATGTTTTATAGACAGAGACGAAGGAGTGACACCGAGGATCTGCTTGGAGCAAAGGTTGGGCCCGGCCGAGCGGGAGGCAGCGCACAGGGCGCGTCCCTGCCCTTGCGAGATTCTGAAAGGGCGGGGACGACGGAGTCACCCTGCAAACCCATGATAAGCAATGGGATGAAGGGCCTCCGAGAGCTGGGGCCCAGGTCGGGAACAAAGATTTCCTGACGCGGTGTTGTGGAGTCCAGCTGTAGCGCCCACAACCCCTTTAACGGCAAGTTCTGGCCAAATATTTTAATTGCGGATGACGTCACATGAGGAACACGGGGCCTGGGCCGCTGGGTTACATCCCTGGCCCTTTATCCCGTTTTTCTAAGCTTCAACTTTGAATGCTGTCCAGTTGGATGTGGTCTCGTGCTGCTGGACAGACAGATGGCTTTAAGCGTAGGCCATCAGAAGAACAGGGCGGCTCTTTCCCCAGGCCACTCTCTTCTGCCTCCTGGGCTGGACTGTTAACTGCAAGCTGGATTTTGCTGATTCGAATCCGGCATCCGGTTTGTGCTGTTTTCTGCTTGACACCAACCGTCACGACATTAAGAACAAGACATGATGGGGCTGGGGATTTAGCTCAGCGGCAAAAGCGCCTGCCTGGCAAGCGCAAGGTCGTGAGTTCGGTTCCTGGTACCGGAGAAAAACCGAAAAACAAAACAAAACAAAACAAAAAAGAACAAGACGTGGTCCTGTGGCTTTTCAAACAGTGGCGGCGCGTCCTGGAACACAAAGTCCAGACAGATGGGTCCTATTAACGCAGCACACATCAAGGATACTTTTTTCCTGATGAAGGCTCCATTTTCTTTCTAAAGATGTCCATTTGTGCTCCCAAGTTAACAGAGGGACTTCCGGATGGAAAATTTTGTGATGAGTTATAACAGGAGTTCTGTGGTTCTAAAGCAAGCACCTCCCTCCTTAAAAACAAATCAAAACAAAAGGCAGCTGGGTAACGCTGGAAAAGATAAGGGTAACTAAAACATGGCACAAAGAATCCGGTGAAAATGATACTTATGTGTTCATTGTATATAGTAAAGGCGTTGCTTTTGTTTGTTTTATTTTTTGAGACAATGTCTTACTTTGTAGTTCAGATTGACCTTGAATGTGAGGCAATCCTCCTGCCTCAGCCTCCTGAGTACTGGGAATACAGGCATGCCGCACCATGCCTGGTCTCCAGTTTTAATTTTAAAACAGTCTTGCTAAGTCTCTAAATTGCCTAGGCTGGGTTCATTTTTTTTTTTTTTTTTGAGGCAGGGTTGCTGTGC